CTGAATATTTTGCATTGCAGTTTGGCAAAGGAGTTTACTTTGCTGACCTGGTCAGCAAAAGTGCTCAGTATTGCTACACTGATAAGAAAAATCCTGTTGGTCTAATGCTTTTGAGTGAAGTTGCACTTGGAAATGTCTATGAGCTCAAGAAAGCTAAGGTCAGTCTGCTTTAATCCAATTTGTGCATTTAGCTTTTTCAGAGAAATAAAATAATCGTCTTTTTCTTTTATTTAAAAAGAAAAACTCAAGAACCTGTAAAAAATGATTATTTCTTCAAAATAAGTTAACCCAAACAATCACATGTGCTTGATTATTTCTAAGTGCATATTTATTCAAAATGAGCCACAATGCCACAATGTTGCTTTCAATACTGAATTTCTGCCAAATGGATTTGCAATAATTTTTGGTTTCATACTGATTGTCTTTGTCATCTGCGAAACAGTATATGGATAAACCTCCTGAAGGAAAGCACTCTACTAAAGGACTGGGCAAGAAAATGCCACTTGAATCAGAATATGCAAAGTGGAGGGGCGATGTCACTGTTCCTTGTGGCAAACCAGTGCCATCAAATGTCAAGAGTTCTGAGCTCATGTACAATGAGTATATTGTTTATAATACTGCTCAAGTAAGTTTCAACCCTGGTGTGTTTTTTGCTATATCATGCCAATGAAGCAAGCTAGGATACTTGTAGTTTAAATTGTAATAAAATTTAGTGGCAATTTTCTACTGTCATGGTCATTAGTCGTTTGCAGTTTGATATATATATATATATATACATATATATATATATATATATATATATATTTATTTATGGAGATTAATTGGGATTTTATATTGAAGTTTCTTGTAGATGAATTATAGCTATGTCAAATGGAAAACTTTTATTTGTTTATAATAGAAACAATGTGGAACAGCAATAACGAAAGAATGAAAATATTTAACGGGAAAACACTTAAACGGGGAAAAACCATAGGCATGGGAGAAGCAATTCTTTCTACTGAAAATTGGTTCAAGAGATACAAAGAGAGTGGCTGCTGCCAACTACAACATTATCATTTTAATGCATATAAAACCCTAGCCCAAAAACATAAAAGTGCATACCATGGGGCTCTGCCCCTGCACCAGTGAAAGGGATCAGTGGTGGGCTCCAATCTCAGGCCTATCGACCTTTGATCTCTGCTACTACCGGACCACAAAAAATTCTCAAAAGTATTTCTTCCCCTAATTGATCACACTGAACTTTTCAGGCCAGGCCAAGAATTTGGGTCACTGTGTAAAACTTTTATCATTGGAAACTCTTGTTTCAGAGATAAATGAGAACAGCTAAGGATTCTTATCATGTGGTAGAAAGTACAAAGTCACAAACTGTTAAGTATGAGGCTTGGGTTTGTGGCTGATTAACACGAGTTTTTAGCTGTTTTTTGTTAGTTCATCTCCTTTTCCATTTGTTAAACTTGATTCATGACATACTTGCCCAATGCTCTTTACGAGTGTTTTTGGATTTGTCATAGATAAAGCCCAATATGTGATATTTACTTTTCTTTTGGTAAACACATGCATATGATTGGATGTGGACTTCTGTGCAGGTTAAGATGCAATTCTTGTTGAAGGTGAGGTTTCATCACAAGAGATGAGGATTGGAGAGAAGTTTGCGGTTCTGGGGTATCATCTATACTAAGCAGTTTTTTGACCAAGACATGTACGAATTGTCTTGGTAAGGTCTCATTTTGAGTTGACTGGAGATCTTTCAAGCCTTTTTTTTGGACATGTAAGTGCAGGGATGTATCTAGTTGAAACCCATCACTTCTAGCAGTAATTTCTCATGCAATTTGTGATCTGGTTATCTGTATATAACCTCTATTTTAGCCTTAAACTTGTAGCGAGCTCTTCCAGTGTAGTATGCGTTGCATCAGTAGTGGTGCTTTTATTTTTTATAAACACATCAGTCAATTTTATTTTATTTTTAATCTTACTGCAGTCTAGTATTTTTTCAGATAGGTATGCATAAATAGCAGAAGAGCTATTTTCCTTGCTCTGTGAAGGAAGGTACACAGAATTTTACGTTGATGAGCTTTGGTCTTAGGTTATTTTTTGTTTTCTTTTAAGAATATTCAGAAATAAAAACTGAGTGCAGAAAAAAAGCTAGACAGGCGGTAAGGCCAAAAAATTAAAATAAATAAAAAGCTAACCTGGTTATGTGGCTGTGGGGACTTCTGTTAAACAAGATATTACGTGGTCTGCACGTGTGTCATGTGAAAAGGGGATGCTGTTAATTAATGCACCAATAAATGTTGATTATGACATCATGTCATGCGTGTATATATTTTTTTTTGCATGTTACTTGCATGTATGACTATCAATCGAGTTCTCTGTGCTTTATGGTGGTGAGAACTTGAAACTCAGGCGGCTCTTAGTAAGACCCATGCATGACATGGGGATACAAACAGCCATTTCTCTCTGTCAAGTATGACGAACTGCTTTATTTATTGTTTGCGCATGTTATGGTGTATGAGCCACCTCTATATAGTGTTTTTTACTAATTTGTGGCTAATCTTGCGTCACTGACTAGTTCCTATCAAAATACAGCTAGTGTAATGGAAGGGCAAATGTTTTTTATTTTAGTTATTAGCTAGTTTATCGTTTGTTTTGGTGTTTTCTGACGGCTTCTCATCTGAATCTAATCAAGTATTTGGACATCGCAAATTCATAGTGGCTGCGTTCGGAAATTGTAATTTCGTATATGATATTAAACCACTTCGAGTCCAGTCTTTTTGGGCGTGACTCAATCAAGAAAGTGGTGTAAGACATGATGTACAAGAATTTTTCTTAAAAGTGATTGCGGAAGAATGCAGATTTCATTTTGGATTCTGATAAACGACCTTGACATCTTATGTTAGACGAGCCTCTATAAGTATATCTTCTGTTCGAATAGACAAACCTGCATGAGATTTGAATTTAATGATACACCCATCAACCAAAACAGCATGATAACAAATTATCAGTAGTCTCTTCTTTGTATGTTTAAAACATTGAGCACGTTGAAGATAAATCGGTTTTTTATTTATTTTTTCATAATAAGATCCACTTTTTTGGTACTAATTATAGATATTTTTCACTGGACAATTTTGTTTGATCATTAGGTATAGGATGGAACAATTTTGCTAAGTTGATTCGAGTGCTTAAAAACAAAAGGTTCAATTTTATATTGGACTTTTTTTTAAACAAAATTTTTGTAAGCAATCATAATAAAAAATGATTTTTTTTTTCTAATTATTTTAACTAATTGGGATAGTTTATATAAAATTATAAATATTTTTTAATAGGAGCTTTTATAATTGTTATTAAATAAAAATAAATTTATTTATTTTTGTTATAAAATCAAAAACTTGGATAAAGTCAACAAACGGTGTTAAGGTAAACATAAACGTGGCAATGTGACAAGTCATATCGTTGTTAGCTAGTATTCTTTGTATCAAGTTTTGCCCTTTGTCTCACTGAGGAGAGCACGAGAGTGATAGGAAGCTATCACGTGCTAGCCTCAAATCGTATTGAAACATCGCTGCAATGGATTCAGTAAAATAATAAGTGAAAGTCATTTTTAACAGTAAAAAGACATTGTATTTATTTATTTATTTATTTTTATCTTATTTCGTTTAGAAATTTGAAGGGAAGAGAAAATAAAAGGAGCTAAAAGCTATTTCTTATTTTTGTTTTCCTTTTTTCAACTACACAGAGTCACAGACCATTACTCAGACTTTTTTTTCATTTGTCATTTTTTATATTTTATTTATTAGATCATAATAGCATTATCCGTATTTAATCAAATAAGGATATTCTTCTCTCTTGCTTCTTCTCTTAACCAAATATGTTGTTTGAATGGATAAAAATAAGAAAATAATGAAGAAAATTTTCTCTTGTTTGGATAGGTGAAAGAAAAAATAATATAGGAAGTGTTTATATATATATATATATATATATATATTTTTTTTTTTTTATCATGGTATTGATACTAGAAACTAGCCTTCTCCCAACACAAAACTCGAATTTGAAATATTAAAAGTTTAGGATCAATCACAATATTAATTTAGTATCGAATAATTTACAATAATAAGGATATTTATTCGATTAAAGTTAGATCGAGTTGTGATAACATACATGATATTAAATTTGAATTTCGGTTCTTATGTAATTTTCATGAATGAAAAAAAATAAAGTTAGACTCTTAATTTAAAAATTAATATTTTTATAACTTTGATTAGCATTCGTCGTAATTAAATAAGTAGTACTCCAATGAACTCAAAATAAGTAGGAAGTTGTCGGTAGAGTTTACCGGCAGGTGGCAGTGTACTAACTCAAGGTTAGGAAGCGACAACACAGCAGCAGTTCCCAGGTGCGGCGTTCGGCGCAAAAATTAGAGAAAAAAAATCTAATCAAACTATTAATTAATTTAACTAAACCAAAACCATACCAAACCCTCAACCGCATACAATTAATTAAAGGCTTGCACTATTCGAAACAAATATACTCGTTTCTTTTAACATATTTTTTTAATACATACTACCTTATTATTCACTATTTTTTTAAATTATTAAAATCATTAATAAATAATGACCCGCAAAATATATTTAAAAAATGTATTAGCAATTGTTAGTGTTAATATTTTCTTCTTCTTATAATTGTGTTATTAATGAAAAATATTTACCACTTCAATGGTAATTAATCTTTATTAAAAAATTTGATTAATTACATATTAGAGTCTCATCTCAAAAAATATATATTTTTTATCTATAAAACTCAAAATATAAAACTATACTTAAAATAATTAAGTTGAGTATTACTCTTACGGACGACTTATTAGTAATTATTAATATTAATATAAATATAATATAAAAAAATAAATAAAAATAGGCAGAGTCCAAGTTACATTAACTTGGTCTAAACCCATTAGAAAAACCAGCCCCGCACCATTAACAAATGTTCCCTCTGAACCCTACACATGAGGCTCTCATGTTCCCATTCACATTTCTTATAAGACTCTTTATGCACCTTATTCCCACTGTCCCACTTCCCTCTCCCATACCATACTCCTCAGATTTTAGTTTGCACCATTTCCTAGTGTGCCCGTGTGCCACACACATAAAATACACAACACCTCTCTTTTTTTTCTTTCTCTCTCTCTCTCTCTCTCGGTTGTTACTAGTATCATACTACTATGGCTTCTGCAAGTGGAAATGGCACTTCTGGCTCTCCTTGCGGTGCATGCAAGTTCCTCAGGCGAAAGTGTGCAGCAGACTGCATCTTTGCACCTTACTTTTGCTCGGAACAAGGGCCTGCTAGATTTGCAGCCATACACAAGGTGTTTGGTGCTAGCAACGTTTCCAAGCTGCTTTTGCATATACCAGCTCATGATCGTTGTGAGGCCGTTGTCACAATCGCTTATGAGGCTCAGGCTCGTATCAGAGACCCTGTCTATGGCTGTGTGTCTCACATTTTCGCCTTACAGCAACAGGTACCATTATGTCTTATTACAAACCCCATCAAAACTTCTAAACTTTATGTAACTCTT